TGGTTACTGTATGCAATGGAGTTTATTTTTATACCACGTCTTTCCTTCACATGTGTGCCTTGCAGAGATACCCCGAACAAGAAGCAAGTGTCCATCAATAATGAGGTGACAGTGACCATGAGGGTGTGCAGCAAAAAAAAAAAGGATGCAAATGAAAGGGAAAAGTGGAGAGAGTTTAAAAGTAGAGAGAGTTGCATCCAGGAAGATGCAAATGGGTATCTCTGCAGACTAGCTGTAGTGCAGGGGCCTGGAAGGGGCAGCCTGGGGGAGAAGATGGCTGAGGATGTGATACTGGGAGAGATGGAAGGAGGCAGAATAGGGTAGGGGAGTTGAGGGAAGGAGGGAGTAATGAGGAAGGGAAGGTGAGATGGAGTCCAGCATCAGGTGCTGGCTTGAAAAAACAGGAAAACTTTAAAGGATGGGAGGGAGGATACGGGAGTGTTTGCAAAAGATGGAGCAAAGTAACTGGAAGGGCCAGTCCCAAGCCCGCGGGGAGCTTGGCTGGACCTCACCGGGAAGAGTTTGCTCATCAGCTATCCAAAGATGGGGCTTCCCAACTTGGGGAGACTCTCCAGGATCCAGCACCCACAATGCTGTACTGATTCCCACACCTTACACAGCCTGGATGAACCAAAGGGTTTCATCAGAGTGAGCCAGGTCACACGTGGCTAAATGTCTGTGTGTTATACGTGATGACTGTCTGCTTTCATGTGGCCCAAAGTTTCCTTTCCAAGCGGTGAATGAGTCTGGCCCAGTGCCAAGGACAAAGTGACCTTGTTAAATTGTTAAGAGTGGACATAAGCTTTCAGTAATCTACCCCCTAAGCGTATCCTTGACTTCAGCAAGGCTTTTGATACAGTCTCCCACGACATTCTCGCAAACAAGCTGAGGAAGTACAGGCTGGATGAATGCACTATAAGATGGACAGAAAACTGGCTGGATTGTCAGGCTGAGAGGGTAGTAATCAATGGTTTGATTCAGTTGGCAGCCGGTATCAAGTGGAGTGCCCCAGGGGTCAGTTCTGGGGCCAGTTTTGTTCAATGTCTTCATCAGCAACCTGCAAGATTGCAGAGAGCGCACCCTCAGCAAGTTAGTGGATCACATGAAGCTGGGGGGAGTAGCAGACACGCTGGAGGGTAGGACTAGGATTCAGAGAAACCTAGACAAATTGGAGGATTTGACCAAAAAAAATCTCATGAGGTTCAATAAGGAGAAGTGCAAAGTCCTGCACTTAGGACAGAACAGTCCCATGCACTGGTACAGGCTGGGGGCCAACTTGCTAAGCAGTGGCTCTGCAGAGAAGGACCTGGGGGTTACAGTGAACAATAAGCTGAATATGAGCCAGCAGTGTGCCCCTGTTGAGAAGAAGGCTAATGGTATCCTGGGCTGCATTAGTAGGAAAGTTACCAGCAGATTGAAGGAAATTATTCCCCTCTATTCAGCACTGGTGAGCCCACATCTGGAGTCCTGTGTCCAGTTTTGGGCCCCCCACTACAGAAAGGATGTGAATAAATTGGACAGAGTCCAGTGGAAGGGAATGAAAATGGTTTGGGGGACCTGACTTCTGAGGAGAGACTGAGGGAACTGGGCTTATTTAGTCTGCAGAAGACTGAGTGGAGATTTAATAGCAGCCTTCAGTTACCTGCAGGGTGTTTCCAAAGAGGATGGAGCTGTACTGTTCTCAGTGGGGGCAGATGACAGAACAAGGAGCAATGGTCTCAAGTTGTAGCAAGCAAAGCTGAGGTTGGTTATTAGGAAAAACTCTCACTAGGAGAGTAGTAAAGCACTGGAACAGGTTACTCAGAGATATTGTAGACTCTCCATCCTTGGAGGTTTTTAAGACATGGCTAGACAAAGCCTTGGCTGGGATGATGTAGTTGGGGCTGGCCCTGCTTTGAGCAGGGGCTTGGACTAAATGTGACCTCCTGAGGTCCCTTCCCACCCACACTTTCTGTGAGTCTGTACCATCACTGCCAGCCTGTCTTGCTCAAGTCAGACCAGAAGCCACTGCCCCTCTAACACTGCTTTGTTTCCCTCCCTCCTGCTCTCGCAACACTTCTTTTGTCCCACGAACCCAGTGCACATCCTGCTCTGTAGTGCTGCTGAGTCCTTTGTGCTGCTCGGTGCTGCCCTCCCGTGGATACATGCCAGGCTTGCTCAATTCTGAAGGACTCGGGTTGGGGGGTGGAGGAAGGATCTCCCTAAGTCTTTACTCTCCTGTGCACACGGATCCAGCTCTTTCTGAGCAACCGCCCAGTGTAAAACAAATCCCCAGTGATAGCAGTAGGGTAAAGCCACTTATTCCAGACCCCATCTGGATTCTGAGCACTCTGGGACTCAAGGGACTCTACATGCAGGGTCTGGGCTAGAGCCATCTCCAGGTATTAGCATGATCTCTCAACATGTCACAACGCTCCCTCTCTCACCTACTCTTTTGATCCTGGCCCTTCCTCCCTTCTCTGCATTTGTCACCTGCTCTGCTCCATGCTCCCACACTTGAAACTCATGCCACCTTTTGTTTTCTAGTCTACCAGTACTTGACTTTTACCAGGGAGGCAGGGCTGTCTAGAAGTTAGAGCAGGGATGTGGGAACCAGGGGGCATGGTCTCTTCCCCATATTGCCACTGACCTGTATAGCTTTGAGTGAGGTGTTTTAAATTTGCCAGTGCCTCATCCTCATGCATAGGAAAGGAAACAATAATATTTTTCATCCTTCATGAAGTATCTGGAGGAGCACCGATGGAAACGTGCTGGTGCCTTGGTTTGTTGGAGAGCAGGGAGAATTGTGCACCAGCTGAATATTTCTTACACAGGAACTTTTAAAAGAGCAAAGAGTCTTGATCCTGCCATCTTAACAAGGTGAGGTTAGAAGAGATCAGGAAGAGGATCCTGATGGGAAAACCAAAGGATGGAGGCTATTAGAAATGATGCTAGTAACACAGACACAATGGGAGCAGATTGACTTGTGGGGGGGAAAACTAAGCTTCAGTAAAAGTGATGGGAGCTGTGCATTAGCACTGATACCTTTGATCTTGTTGCCTAGTAGGGACTCCTATTGTGCTCTTTTGGAGGTCATGTTTTGCTTTAATGTTCAAAGGTGTTTTTTTGCCAAGTGTGGTTGCAGTGATACTGCCTTGTACAATCTTTCTTTTCTTAGTTATGAATCCTAACCAATATCCGAGCAATGCCTTTGATTGCAAAGCATTCCCCACGAGCATTGCAACAAATGTGACAGGCTGAATGACCTCAGCTACCAGTGAAAAGCAATTGTTGCTGGGATTGGATTGTGATAGCTGGTTTAAAATGCAAAGGCACAGTACTCAGCAGTTCTTGCAAATGAGGTGAATAGTATTATCCCCATTACAACGTACTGAAGAAAGTTATGTAGGCAGAGAGAAATTAATCACACCGATAATGGGCCTACTCAGAAGAATGAATGTCAACAATACCTAGCTCTTACACAGCACTTTTCCTGTATAGATCTGAAAGCACATTACAAAGAAAGCCAGTGCCATTAGCACTGTTATATGGATGGGGGAAGCAGGGCACACCAGTGACTTGCTAAACGTGGTCCAGTAAAGCTGTGCCAGAGCTGGGATTGAGAGCACGTCTCCTGGATCTCAGGCCAGTGTAGTCGCTATGTTCAGTTAGATCTTGGTATTGTGGGTGTGCACAGAAAGCCCTGTCAGGCACTGCACAAATACGCAGTTGCAAGTTCTTCCCCCCCGCAAAAGCTGCTTGTGCGCATTCATAAAGCCTCAGGGTCCCTGACTGAGGCTCTTCCATGCCGCAGCTATGAATGCAAAATGACAAATGGCTGCTGAAAGCTAGATCGTAGAGTTAAAGCAGGGAGACAATGTGTGCAGTTCAGGGACTTTTAGTGACTAGTAAGGTAGAAGAAGATTTTGGATTCACCACTGATTCCAGAGAAAGCACGTCTAACAGCATCTTCTGGATGCAGCCTCCAGCCTCGGGTATTGGGGTGGACTTCAGCAGTGATGGAGGGAAGAGCACCACCTCCTGAAGCCCCAGCAGCACTGCCATTGCTCTCTAATCTCTCTCAATAGAAAGACAGCAGTGATCTTGCTTTGTTTTCTCTGCAAACCTTGATCCCTGTAGTAGCTTTCTTCCTCTGCGGCGTCTGGTAGAAAGCTCTGCCAGGGGGTTTGTGCCCTGCTGGGTTTTATTCGTTCATATACTTCTTAAAGTTAACAGCAACTCTGCTCAGAAAAAGTACACCGAGCACAGGAGAGCACCCAGCAAGGTGCAAATGTCTGTTGAATCGTGATTATTTGGGTAAATGCGGTATCTTTTATTAGACCAACTAAATAATTGGGGAAATTGTTCTGAGGCATTAATTCAGAGGCAGAGTGTGCAAAGCAGGGAGTTACAGCTTTTTACAGGGGTACAAGACAGTCAAGAGCTCATGCTAGGATTTCCAAGGAGCCCAAGAGTTTTTCCAGCTTCCATTGGGTGTTAGACACTTGTAACCCTTAGGCTTTTCTGGGAATCCTGGCCTATGGTGCTAGTCCCTGTGGATTAAGTGGCAAAACCTCCATTAACTGCAGTAAGAGAAAGATCAGGACCCAAAAGAGCCTGAGAGACTGAACCAGTATCTAAAGTGGTGCGATACATCTGCCATGGGGCCACAAGAAGGTGTAAGATACAGCATAGCATAAGTCTCCTTCACATTTATTCCTTGCATGTACCCATCTGGGCCCTTGGTTTGTGAATTATGAACCAGCATAGATTCCCTTTGACTTGGGGTGGTTAACTGTGTGCAATGTACTCCACCTTCTATGTGGCCTGGGAGGTTTTGCTAAACTAAAAACTTTTTTCTGCATCTGCTATATTCAAGCAAATGAAATCATCTCCTCTCTTCTTCATTGTACCACATACGATGTTTGAAGTATGTATTTATCCTTTCAGATGAAAGCTTAAGTGCCTCTTTCTGGGTATTGCCCTGTGAGACAGCAGAGTGAATTTGCAGCCAAGCTTTCTCCATCTAAATACAACCTCAACCATGGATACAGTTGTACAGACTGTGAGGAAGGAGCTGCAAACTCACAGATGGGAGCAGTTTGACAGCTCCAAAGAGCTAAAAGCATGTGCTTCGTACTAGAGGACCCAGTCCTGCAGTGTGATGAGCGTCTTTGGCAAAGTGGTGAGTAAGCTGAACACCCATTCACTTGAGTGAAATGTGTCTTCTTTTATGCATCAGAGGAGGCACAGAAAGCTTTATGCATAGATTACCTTATTCAGGATGAACCATTTTCATGTGCGACAGACCAATGACTACATTTATTCTCCTGAAAATGAATTTTCAGCAGCATGCACCAGTTCTTTGAGATCTGCACGGACATTCAGGCCCGGTACATAATTAGAGAAAGAATAGAGCCCTTCTTCCCCACTGCCTAATCAAGGTAAGGAGTATCTCCTGAACAATTGCTGAATAAGCTTTCAGGTATGGAAACAGGTCCCGGTAGGATGCAAAGACAAACGAAGGTATTGATTCATTAGTGCATTTCTCCAGTGCTGAGCATGGAGACGTCATGGTGAATGAATGGGTGTAGAGCTCTGACATGCCAGTGGATTGTCATCCATTACCAAAGTAACAAGACAGAAAGGCTTGAAGGATGCTGGAGCATGAGTGACAAGGGACCTGTCATCAGCATACCCCTGTGAAAGGTGCCACCTCATTAGGCTGATGGTTGTTCAGATGACACTGTATTTAGGGCACCTGAAGCCTGGCTCACCTGCAGGTATATGCCCTTATGGTTGCTACTGGCAGTTTTTGTGTCCCAGATACCAATCCCCACAGCCTTTCCAGGGCAATACCAGGCCCTGCTATTTTGGGGTGAAATCTTCCTACATCAAGTGACTCAGAAGATATTGCACTTGCAAGCATCATGTGACAGATGCTAAAACAGTCTTGCTAAAGGTGTAAAAACGGCAAATCAGAGTGCAAGTCACTAGATATAATCTGAGGTATAGGAATGAAAGCGAGACGATCTCCTGACAGCTATCGCAGAAGCTCTTGCCTCAGACAGATGGGAGAAGATAGCCAAAACAATCTGGGGGGACATACAAGGCATCTTTGGTTTTACTGGGTCCGGGCCCTTAGACGTGATCATTCCTTGGCTAGTCTGTGTGTGTGGACCCACTCCCTCCACAGGCCTCACCCGTGTGAAAATGGTTAAAGGTGTGCACACAGCACAGATGGGCTGTTTGCCAGAACAGTTTTTTATCCCGCGCACGTGGGAGGGTTGTACAATATCAAATGCTAAATGGATTCCATCATGAAAGCAGAACCGTCCTCAGTGCCAGATGTGAATGGATATGGCCCGTGGGGCTAGGTTGCCTTTGGTAGGTAGGGATGGCCAAGGCACTTTGCCCCAGGAATCCCCAGTGATTGAGAGAGCAGGTGTTTTGTGATTTTTTAAAAGGAATGAGATAGCACTGAAGGGGCCATATTAACAAGAGAGCTGTCCCTCTATAGGCAGCTTGGCTTTAAACTGGAGCAGCATTTCATGATGTCCGGGCATCGGCTAGGCCAGGCTCGGAGAGCATGCAGGGAACAAAGTAGTGCAAAATGTTTGTATGGTGAAGAGTCCCTGGGTGTATTTGTTTGCTGGAAATTGGAAATATAGCTCTGTCGCTCTGTACAGGACATGCATATGCGGAGGGTGTCTGGGGGCAGGTATCTGAATGCAGAATGCTAGTGAACACGGGTATAGTTGATGTGTGAGGTGACCCCCTCTGATTGCAAAGAGGATGCAGATATGATGTATGTGAGGAAGAGATTCTGGGTTCATGCCTGTATGTGGAGAGGTCAGAGAGGGAGCCCTGTGCAGGCACGTGTGTGAGGAAGTTGTGCTTGTGGGTAGTCATTTATGGGGAACGGAGACGGAGCCCTCTGCATTGGCAAGCGTGTTCATGATAGAAACGTGGCCCTGTGTATGGGGAATGTGTCCGGAGGAGGTGTGGTGGGGTGGGAGTTTTGGCTGGCTGGGTGCAGAGATTGCATAGCGAACCAGTGCAAGAAAAGACCGACTCTAACAACACATCATAACCTTTAAGTCGCTCTAGCCAAGTTGCCAGCAAAATATATAGCTCCCTGCTGGAGGGCACTCCAGAGTGTTTCTAAAAGCCTCTGAAAAGGATGCTACTCTTTTCTATTGGGTATTTTCTAAAATAACAACCACTGGCCCTTATTTTGTTTCTGTTGAGCCGCCTTGGTTTCATACCAATTATAGACGCTTGTAAAGGCCGTGGCATATGTGGCGATCTGATCCGCTTCCTTTCAGCACTCTCCCCAGCGCTCGTGCGTCATGAGCTAGCACTGCCGTGGCCTTTCACTATCTGGCCGCTGCACGGCCCCAGTGGCCTTGAAGGGGGGGATGATTGACTGTCAGCAGCTGGTGATGCCTTTGGGTCTGCGTTGTCTCCCAGCACTTAGGCAGGGCTGCATGGAGAAGGAGCCGGCTGCTGTGTGAATCCACAAGGCAGAGAGCAGGTCCATCTAAGCCAGTTCACGTGCTTGGTATGACGATGGGGCAGGGAATTGCTTGGGTGGGCTTTGCGCAGGGACCAGACACCAAGGTTTTGTGCTGGCCCCCTTGCCTCCTGGCCTGACGGACATTAGAGAGAGTGGCTTGCTGGGGGAAGCTAAACAGCATTTAATTTTAGGATCTCCCAACCTTATTGTGATGTGGCAAAAGCTGCAGCCTTTTCCTTGCACTGCCTGTGCTGGGGAG